GTGAAATCCTATAAATACTACACTGACAGTAGTGTATGTTCGGGGAGATTTAAGTTCCACATAATTTTATTAAGAAAGAAAACTAGAATAAAGAGCCTTACATTATAGAAAATATAATTTGCAGAGGAAGGAGAGAAATGTAGGTATATCCTGAAGACTTCAAGTTTATTTTGGTCCAAGTAGGATCATAAAACTTCATCTGTTCTTTTACCTCCCTTTTTCCTCCTAGCTTTCTCTTCTAAATCTTTGGTCTCTTATTGGAAGTGATTATAACATTTTGGCATGAGAAAGCCCTGAAAAGTGTATAAGTTACAATAGCAATGCCAGCCTTCCCAGCTATGTGAAATGGCCAGACTATGATCTCTTTATAGTCTTTGGATAAATCCAGTTTTTCTAGGAGCCTGATGGGTATGATTCTTGATGCTATATTATTGAGAGAAAGGAAGGGAAGTTGTCAGTTCTTTGAAACCCTCAGTCAACCAACTCTTGGGGAGGACTTCCTTACTAGAATGTGCAAATATAACCATCGGATCTCTTAGCTTATTATAGTTGAAAGAGCCTGAGATAGCTAAAAAAGAAAGCAAAACTGGTCAATATGCCTGGGTCCAGACTTATTAATAGAATTAATTAACTTTTTGTGTTTGTTTTTATTTTGCTAGGCTTGGCATTTGACAAGTATTAGCAAGAATGATTCAACTTATGAGTTGCCCATCTCTTTATTTCATTAATTTGTTCATTCAACAAAAATTAAGTGTCTGCTATGTACCTGCCATGCTGACTCTAATATCTCTATTGAGAAAAAGAAATATTTATAAATGGGAACATAAACACATATATTCTGATCCCTGCTAGAATGAATACACTTGACTGAATGTTCATGGACATTTTGTTGGAGATACAACATCAATCAATCAATCAATCTTCTCCCTTTTAGAGAGGGAGATTATAGAAATTATAAGAATTTAGGGCTAAGTGAGAGGGCTGAAGTATAGAGAAAAACAAGACAAAAAGGCCTGCCTACAAACATTTTAAGTGTAGAATTTGTCTTACGAAGAAGCTTTTTTTCTAATGAAGAACCGCATACACCAATACCAAGGACTTTCTGTCCCGCTCCTTTCATTTGAGAGTAAATAGCTTTGGCTCTAGATTTATCTCAGGCCCCAGATGGTGTAAAGTGAAGCTGTTTCAGGAAATGCTGATTCTGAATTCTGAGATATATCCAAGTGTAGCTCTTTATATTAGCAGACTCAAGTTGGTTATGCAGGGCAAAAACTGTGAAGACTAAGAGTTTGACAGTGGAATGGCCAAGAATCAATTGTTTTGCCTCCTCACTCTAAACAAGTGATAATTGTCCTAAACTCAGGTAGATATTTAAAGCCGATTCATCTAATGTTAGAAATTAGCAGTGTTATTGTCAGTGCTCAGGGAAATAAAGGGGAAAATATAATGAGAAAGTTGCTGTATTTGTATTGATATCTCCATATCACAAAGGGTGTTTTTGAAGAAAAATTTGTTTAAAGATTTGCTTTTTGTTTAAATTCTTACCTACAATTCTGGTTTTTGTTTTTTATTTGGTGGATGCTAACAGTTCAGATACAAAGCTTACTTTGAACTGACAAAATTTCCCCTAAAGCAATATATTTAAAATGTGAAACATAAAGTTCTTGCTATATTGCCACTGTACTGACATTAAATTTTTATTATTTTATTTTTAGCTAGAAATCGACCATGGGCAAGTCACTATGCCATTTTTAGATTTTGATTTCTATTGTAGTTAGGAGGTAGATGAATCACTTTTTAAGATCTTTGCAGATTTTGGGTTTGTAGTCAGTGATCTTCATTTATCTATATGTGCATGATCAGCACTCACGTCAAAACCCAGTACCCCTTATGTGGCTGAAACTTTGTTGAAGTGCTGCCCAACTCCCAGAACCTCACCACACCCATATTGAAAGGAAGGAACCTTATCAAAGGGGGCCTCAGACCTTATTCAGCTCAGTTGACCCTTGCTCTTTTCTGTAGCAGTCTTTTTTTGTTGCATAGAGTTGTCCATTGAACAATTTCAAATGAAGCATGGGAAAGGAAGGACAGAAGCATATTTTAACTTGCAGTTGAATTGAAATTGCCAGAATAATCCAATATTTTAAAAGCCTTATTGGAAAACTTCAGTGGCCCCAACTTGTGAATGTGTGTTATAAAAAATTCAATTGTAAATTGGTTCTTTGGTATATTTTTCATAGGAACAATATTAAAAGGTGGTTGTGTATGCAGGCCAGCCATTGTTTAGCCCACAATGTTGCTAAAATACTGTTCTTTTGGGGATAGTACTGTTTTAGAGAAGTGATTATTTATTGTAACACAAGTTTTAAAAAAAAACCAGTGCCGATATTTACTAAAGGTAAAAATTAAGTATTTGAGCAAATTTATCGGGAGATAGGTGGAGATATCAGCAGGAAATCGGAAAGTGACTCTAGCCACTAACCTGATCCCTTTACCTCTGTCAGCCTTTACATCTGTGATGAGATGATATGCATATGTGTTCACAAGAGTCAAACAGAAAAATGTTTCCATTGAGCCTACTCTCCTCGTTAGTATTTCACCCTCTTTTTAACTGAGATTCTTAAAAACTTAGATTCCTTTCTTACCAGCTTACTCTTTAGCCCATGCATAGAATTTCCACCCTTGGTGTATAAATAAGTACAGTGCTCTTTGAAGGTTACCTACCTCTTAACCCCTTGAAGAAATCAAATAATTTTTTAAAGGTTATTGTCCATGCTCGATAGCATTTAAAACTTAGAGCTACTTTCTTTTTGAAACTCTTTTTTTTTTTTTTGTGATACTGGTTCTCTCATTTAATTCTCACATAACATTATAGCAGCCTGACTTCTCCCTTGTGTGCTCTTCACAAATGTACATGTTCCATCTTTTGTTTTATAGAATAAGTTCCATGGGGTCAGAAACTATCTTGTCTTGTTCACTGCTATATATTTTGTATCATGCCTATAGGTAATCAGTAAAATATTTGTCACCCAGTGAGATAGCTCTTCAGGTTCTTTTGGTCTTGTTTTGCTGTTTCTCACCTGCTTTTTAATTAATATCATGCCTTCTGCTTCTTCCATCTTTTTCATTGACTGGCAGTGCTGCATTTCAGCTCCCCTTCTTTGTTCCAACTTTATTTATTATGAAAAACCATTCCCAATTTATTTCCAAGTAGGAAAGTAGATCATTACATGACATTAAGGAGTTAAATAGGAGTAGCAGGGCCACAATTGGTATTTACATATTTCCACTTGCTTATTATTTAGATCTTATTTATCTCTTACTAGATATACTAGATCTCTTAAGTTTACCCTGCCTTCAGCTTCTTTTCCTCCATTCTCTTCTTCATGTTATGACCAAAGCAGTCTACTTAAAAATTGTGACCAGTTAATGGTTTTCCCTGTAGAATTTTATTCCCGTAGAACAAAATTTAGAAAGAGGAATTGGCCTTTTCTTGTGATATGAAGTCAGGGAGCAGGTTTCAGTTCATAAACAGAAAAACTCACCTGCGTTTAGAACTATTGGAAATGAAACTAAACAGTTTGAGTAGGTGTTGCGTTCCCTTTCATCAGTGTCAATATGGTGGAATACTAGGCAGTTCTCAAATGGGACATGTTTTGTAGCTTTTTAAAGCAGCATTCCAGGCCTTTAATTAAAGTTTATATCTTTGAAACTGCTTAGGTCTTCCATAGTCTGTTGCAGATACAATTTTAATGATTAGGAACTGCATCTTGCACTTAGTGGGTGCTAAACATACATTTGTTCAGCGAATTAATAACTTCTGGGCACTTTCTTGAGTAGGTGAGGTGGGGTACTTTATTTCCATTTCAAACTTGGTTTTGTGATGGAGGAGTATCAGATCTGTATTCAGAGCCCTAGGAGCAAGTCTTTGGCCTCTACATATGTTATGTTGGGCAAGTTATTTATCATCTGTCTGTGAGCCTAATTTTGCATCTTTAAAATTGGAATGATAGTTACTATAAAGTAAGTTATTTTGAGGACTAAATACATGTGAAAAATGTCTTATACTATGAAAATGCTTTGTAAGTAGTAGAAATTAGTAAAAATTAATAGCTTTTTTCTTTAATAGATTACAGGTATGTCATTACTATTACTTTACAATTAGGGTCTTTTTTTTTTTTTTTTTACCTTAGCATGGAAATAAATAGTTGCTTTCTTTGAGAAAGTAACACGTTACCACAACCCTTCCCCTCAAGGCAAAATTTCTTTCTTCTATTGTTGAATTCTTGATTTTAATCCTAAACTCCCAGTTTCTCTGGATTTTTCTTCTTTCAGTTTTTGTGTCAGATTTGGACAAAGATTCCCAGAGTTCTAAATACCAAAAAGTACATGGCAAGAGTAGCATGCATTTTCCCAAATGAATTATATTTGGTAGAATTTTTCTAATTTTAAGATTTGTCTTAAATCTTTGGCACTTGATATGTTATTGTTATTTTCATGTTGCAAAATTCAATGAACAAGTAGCAAAAATATTTTAATGAAAATGTTAAATACCCTAATTATTTTTTCTTAATTCTTTAATTTGTTTCCCTATACAAGCTTACACATTGTATATTTCCTGAATATAATTTTATATGACACATAAATGCTATAATTATGCATCCTGATATTTTTTCCTAGATTGTATATGATGGCATCAGATACATTATTGTTTTATGGTGCTTCGTAGAGAGCTCTCTGAGTTGAAGTTAAATGGATTCTTATATCATTGTTTTGTAAAGAATACCTAAACAGGGGGTTAGTTGTAGGAATGGCAGTTCTTGAGTCTGCTGAGTTAGAAAAAAATAGATGTCTCACTGACCAGAGTTGTTTCACAAGTAAAATACATTAACAGATTAGCTTTTCATAAGAGAACTCTGTGATTTGGAAAGGAAAATTATTGGTATTTGTTATTTCTCCTTAAAATAGTAAATCTATGTTCTTTCTTCCCCCTTCACCAGATCAGTGTGTGTTTGGTGCCCTATTCTTTTATCACAAAAAATAAAAAGAGAAGAAACACTGCAGTGAATGAAGATTCTTCTCCATTTTAGCACTGCTTTTTCTACTGTAGTTGGCTTTTGAATGAGGATGACAATGGAAGAGATGAAGAATGAAGCTGAGACCACTTCCATGGTTTCTATGCCCCTTTATGCAGTCATGTATCCTGTGTTTAATGAGGTAAGTGGGTAAACATTTCCTCATATGATCTCTTATAGTTCTTTAACGCCTGCTTCATTTATTAGCTTGTTCTTTCATATAGCAAATAGTAAATACTAGCATGAATGAACTCCATCTGTGTGTTACACATTGTGTCGGGGCATAAAATGGTGAAAACAAAACCAAACAGATATGCCACTTCCCTCTGGAGGTTGCACCATAGTGAAAGAGATAGACATTGAATAAAGAACATAAATAATTATATAAATGAAACATTGTAGTAAGTGTTATGAAGTTTTTAAAAAGTGTATTAAAAAAGAAAATAGTAGGTGGGACCTATTTTAGGGGTCAGGACAGGCTTCACTGAAGAAGGGACATATATCCTAAGATCTGAAAGAGAGAAGAGTTAGTTGAAGAGTTAGCCAAAAAGTTATGTTCTACGTAGCTAGAATAGTAGGCACAGAGATCCTAATAAGTTATTGTTGATGATGACAAAACATTTTTTAACTGATATTTTGAAGATACCATTGCTTTGTATCTGGAGAAGGATGTGGTTGCTTTTTATTTGAGGAATTATTTTGGATTTAATACATTTTTGGTTTTTCATTTAAGTTAATATACTATAGTATGTAGAGAATTTTAGAGCTGGAAGTTCCTTAGAGATCATTTAATTTCCTTTAATTGTGAGCTGAGGCTCTGATATATGAAATTATTTTCCTAAAATTACTTAGGATTAAAATCAAACCTAGATCTCTGGATTCCATATCCATTGGGTTCAGCCTTTTTTAAAAAACTTAATAATCACTTTTTTGCTATTTTATTAATCTAATTAGCCTTTAACATCATTAACCTTATGGTCGCTATTGTAGTCTGGAAACCCATACCATTTCCAATGACTTTTCATCTCTTTTTGTAAAATATTTTTATTAGAATAAAATTCTGAACTTCAAAACCATTTTTCCCACATTTTTGGGTTTGATTACAGTTGATGTATTTTCTGATCTTAAAATCATAAGTATTGGGGGCAGAGAGTGATACATTTACCCTCTTTGACATGAAAACCACAGACTTAGTTGCCAATTCAGATATACATTTTGAAATTTCAAACACTGTCAAGTAGTGTTAGGTTTAGCAAGCATAAGAGAAAATTGAAAATCGTGGCTTGGGTAAAAGTTTATTTCTCTGTTACATAAAAGATTTTGGAGGCAAGTGGTCCAGGGCTAATGTCTTTATGACTCAGTGTCATCAGGAACTCAGGTTCCTATCTTTTACTCCACTGTCCTAGTGCTTGGCTTCTGTTATCAATGTCAGCTTGGCGCGCAGGGCAATTGCTGAAGCACATCCATCATGTCCAAAGTTGTTGTCTGTAAGGGGGAAGATGGGGTAGGGAGTAGAGTCCTGCTGCCTTAAAGTAGCCCTTTTGAAAGGCCTATGAGAGATTTCCACTTACATTTCATTGGCAGTAGCTTAATTTCATGACCAAACCTAGCTGCAAAGGAGATTGGGAAATTTAGGAGTTTTGTTACTAAGGAGGAAGCATCTTTTGAAAAACCTATCATTATATTGCTACTATAGTAGCATTGGAGGCACTCTTTTAGGTCTAGTTATGCCCATCTTTGGCAGCTATGGCCAACACTCCGGTAATTAATTTTGGCATTTTTGTTCTGATTCTTAAGTAGCTGTTGTTAGAAACACGTGCTTCAGTTCTGTTCAGTAAATATTCATTGAAAGCCATCCATTTATTTGCTGAGTATTCTGTTAGGGTCTGAAAGTGTGTAGAAGAAAAAGCCAACATGCTTGTTTTTGATAACCTATTAGGTATTTAAGCAAATAAAATTTTAAATTATCCTTGTACTTAGAATTAGGTAAGGAGACAGTGACTAAAAGCTAGTGAGTAACCTAGCTTGGCAACAAATTACAGTTTGACTTCTCAGGTATTCCAAAAATCATTATCATAATTCCACTTAGAGGTACTCTTTCTCTTTTCATGTCTGTATCTAAATTGATAGGTTATTGGGCAAAGTTTTTTGGGAAAATTTTCTGTATTTCTCTGGTATTTTGTGTCTTTACTTGAAGGGAGGAAAAGTTACATTGCAGAGCTTCAGTTTGATCCTCTGGTTAATGAAGAGAAATGAGAAAGAAAAGCTTTTTGTTTTAACAATCTGAGCGATCTTTTGAATCTTGACTTTGCAAAAGAATTATATAGAATGTGGGGTTGTGGTAAAATTATTGGGATTAATATTAATATAACTTTTCTAATTTTATTCATGTGTAAGGGATATTAACTTGAAAGAAAAAGAAGTGGCTATGAGCGGATTAGTAAATCTCTTCCATAAATAAAGATAATGATTATCTCTAGATGAAATCTTAAAACATGTGAGTCAGTGGAGATGAAATCTAGATGAAATCTAGTGCTTGATTTAGGAATGTAGTAAAATAATTATTGTGCCTTCAAATATGAAGTGTTTGATTAAAAATAATAAAATACTAGCATTATTCTTTGTTATTCTGGTGTAACATCTAAATAAGGTACCTAATACCTAAAATTAATGTTTAACTGTAGTTCAGCCATGAATTTTTCTATAAATTTAATGGGGAATATTATATATTCAGTTTGGCTCTTTTTCTGTGCTGTGTAGATTTAAAGATGAAAATGATTGTCAAATTAATCTTCCAGAAAAGTAGTACCACCCTAGGGATGAATGTTTTACCCTGAAGCTAAATGATTCACTAAATCTTGTCCACAATGTATTTTAAGAGTTAAAAAGCTTACTAGTTCTCATCTTAACATTAGATCCATAATATCTACAATGGTAGTCTAGAAATCATCTTTTAAAAGATTCTTAGCTAATACGACATCCTTACACCTGGGGATATTTTAGTACTGTTACTCCAGCTTACAAGACAAAGTTATTTATGGCATTCAGAGAGCCTTGATGCTTGCTAAACTTAATGAAACTATGCCAAGACAGCTGAGAAGGAGTAGGCTTTTTGTTTAATCAGCTGCTGCAGAGTTCAGAGTCCAAGTATATTGCATGTGTTGTAAATGTACTGTGAAATAGGTTTGCTGGCTACATTATGGAATAATGGGTTTCTAGAAACTTCATTCCAAGTCCTAGATCAGGTTCTCATGTAACTATATTATTTCTTACTGATTCTTTGTATATGGAAGATGAGAGTGCAGTGGCTCAGTTCTTCATTCCAGGGGGAAAAAGCCATGTATCTTTTTTCCTATGACCTTATAGAGGAATTTTTTTCTGAAGCAATGTGTTATATTTTGAGAAATAAACAATTTTGCAACTAAATGTGAATTTTAAATCACCAAAGGTTTATACGTTTATTAATAAATTACACAAAAGTATGCTTCTGAATAAATAGTATTATATTCAGAAGCTTCTGAATCAGCCATTTCTGTCAACCCTTGGCAACTGTGCAATTCTTAATTTTTCTTAGTAAGCAAATAAAACTAGGAATACTTCTTTTAACTTTACCTACCTAGCTTATATATTTTTTCTCATTGAAAAAAAAATCAGACCTCAGACGTTGAGCATAGTAAACATACTTCTCCATAATGAAGGATGGATTTCACCTGGAAACCCACCATCCAGAGGTGATCATAGTTAACATTTTGGGTTTGAATTAGCTAGACTATATACTCTTGACTCAGTTTTCTTATCTGTAAGTAGGTGTAATCAAATGTATGCTTAATTCTCGCAACAGCTCTGTGAAATAAATGAGTTAATGTATTATAAAGTGTTTACAGTAGTACCAAGCATGTGGTAAGTGTTAGTCATTAACTGTTAAGGAGTCTTTTAAACAGATTTGCTGACAAAACTTTGATCATACCCTACAGTTTTATATACTCGTAGGCAATGTTTTAATGGAATGTTTTTATAATAGGTGGTCCTGCTTACCTTTTTGGCCAGATATCCTGGCAATCTCCAGCAACTGATTCTTTTAGGAACATTGAATGCCTTATGTACAAAACACAACTGATTACGTTTATTTTCTCTGTGGCAGCTCAGAAAATTATTCCCTGTATTTCTATCCTTCTGGCATGCTTATTTTTGACCTCACTCACCTCATTCTCATTTGAATAGCAAGAGATGTATCTGAAGTTTTTATTCCTGTTACTTGGGGAAGTTTAATTTCTTTTTAAGAAAACAGAATCAACAATCTTTGTGGAGGATGGATAGGGAGAAGGCTGTCAACACGGGAAAAATCAAATCTCGCCTGATTCTGAGGAAGCAGTAGATTTCTAGACAATTCAGAACCAGTTAACCTAATTATTTTGACCCTTAAAAAAAAAAAAAAGCATTGTTCTGAAAGCAAGACTCTTTAAAACCTGAGCAAACAAAGGACTATTTTTTTTAATTAATGGGTTTAAGAAATTAGCTTGATGCTGAAAAGGATAGGAATGAACTCAACATTTTAGAGAGAACAAAACCATAAGTGAAAACTCTGTGGAATTGAAATTACGTGTAAGATTTTAAAATATTTGTATAAATGAAACAAAGAGCAAATGTGACAAATTTGCAGTTGATAGTAAGTATCTTAAAAGGTATCAAGAATAAGCTGCAGAAGGAGCTCACAAAACTGAGTGTAGGCAGAATGTGAGGTTGAGCTGAGACCTAATGTTAGGCTTACTCAGCCTGTCCATTACCTCCAAATGTGTTTCAGTGGCAGTTTTCATTTTCTTTCAGGTGAGATGAAATGTTATGTACCCTTATCTCTCATTCTCATTCTCTTGTTTTTCCTTACTCTTTTACTGGTGACATGGAATTCTTTAATAGTTAAAGCCTAAGCAATGCCTCTCCCTGTGCCAATATCCATTAATGCAAGGTGCAGTCAGTCATCTATTCCTCCTTCACTGGACCTGAAATACAGTACATGTGCTGTCATTTACTACTAAGAAAAATATTGCATTGGTTCTTTAAAGATACCCTAACCAAAGATTGTTAACCCAAAAACTCAGAGCTGGACTCAGTAACAGTATTGGAAACACAATGTAAATCCTTTTCTGTTATAAACTTCACATAAAATCATTACACCCATGTGTTACCAATCCTTAAAAAACCCCTAAGTGGGAGAGCTTCCAGGGAAGATTTTTAAGAGGCCAACCCACATTCTTTAACACCAGTTCAGATCCATCCCATTTTCATAAAGCCTTTTCTTTCTACTTTAGCTGATAGTGATCCCACCACTTTTAACATAGCTGCTTGCTTAAATTGATCTTCTGAGGGTCCCCGACTATAGTCTATTTCTTTGTATCTCTTCACATTGACTTCCTTGCATGTGGTAGAAACTCAGGAACGTGTTGGTCCTTAAAGAACCAGCAGTTGAAGAGATTTCAATCTGGAAGGAGTGAGTATAGGGAGTTATGGTGGCATTAGTGGCTTGTGTGCAGGATTTAGAGCCAGACAGATCTGATGTGAATCCTGTCTCTGTACTTAATACCTGTTAACATTAGATAGATTTATGCAGACTGAGTTTCTTCTTCTGTAAAATGGAGATGATATCTACAGATTTATGGTGAGGATTAGAGATATTCTATATACAGATATTCTATGGTAAAGTCTGTAATAGATACTTAGTAGAGGGTAGCTATTAGTGGGATAGTGTTATCAGACCTGCTACTGTCATCAAAGGCACAGGTAAGATGAACATGATTTTGTCAAATCATATATCACAAGTGAGAAGCCTAAAAGAGAAGCCTTTTTTAATAGGGGAGATAACATATCTTGCTGCCTAAGTAGTACAGGCTAAATTTATCAATATATCTAAGAACAATTTGATAAAATTATGGATGAGAGATTAAATTCAATTCAAACAGTACTTAACTCTTTGTACCTATATGCCGGGTACTGCCTTGGGCAGTGTGGGTACTATATGAGTAAGAAAGCCTGTTGAGTTTATTGTAAGACATGGGGTATATGTAGTCATATGCTACATAATGTTTTTGTCAGTGATGAATTGTTTATAAGATTGTCCCATAAAATTATAATGGAGCTGAAAAATTTATATCACCTAGTGATGTCTAAGTTTTTAACATTGTAGCAATGTTTAGATGTATTTATATACATAAATATTTACCACTGTGTTAGAATTTTCACTATAGCGGTATGCTGTACAAGTTTGTAGCCTAGGCATGATAGGCTGTATGCCATATAGCCTTGGTGTGTAGTAGGCTATACCATCTAGATTTATGTAAGTACACTATGGTGTTTGCACAATGACAGAATTGCCTAATGATGCATTTCTCAGAAGGTATCCCTGTTATTAAATGATGCATGGCTGCACTATATCCCAGAATGACTCCCAGCAGAATTCTGGTGAAGTACTTCACAGCTCACAGATTTTTGATTTAATATATGTCTGACCTTTCTGTGACTTCCTCTTTTTTAGTAAGATATATATATATATATATACACAAATATATATATATTTGTGTGTGTGTATATATATATATATATAAACCTAATCTAGAGATGTTGGTTTATATCTTGGATGATTTTATTGGCTCTTCACTAACTTTTCTGGGTGTCTTACTATCCTTGACCTTTTATATATACCTGTGATGGCCAGTACAGAATGAGTTAATAATGCTGATACTTTTTTAAATTTCAGGATATTATGAGGATACAAACATTTGGTTACATTTTATATCATTGCCTCTCCCTAGATAATGCTGATACTTGAAGGCACATATCTGACTCTGACTTTTGACTTGTTGAAAGAAGTTAGAGTTCGGTATAAACTCAAATAAAGAAATGGGTTCCTATCAGAATGGAAACATTCATCCTGTTTGTCCCTACCTCTGTTGCATGACAAGAACTTGAGATCTAATGACCTGTATCATTGTTTCAATCTTAAGTAGTATTCATTATAATTACATCAGTTACATAGAAGTAGAAAACTTTTTTCCTTTTTGGAAACATACTTTTGTTAATTTAAAAAACTACTTATATAGTTACTTTGCTGTATTTGTGTACTGGGTTCCTTGTGCTTTCTTTTTTACCTACTGAGGCAATATTAGATTTTACAAGATTTGTAGAAACCAAGTTAACTGCTAAAGCTAAATGGTTTATTGTTTTCTGGGAGGTGAATTATTTTAGTAGATTTTGTTGCTTTTGCTTTGTGTTTATGGTGAATAATTCATAAGGAGATATGTTTCCTGGCATTTCTAACTGTCTTTTTTAAAAAATAAATTGATTTAAAATGTTGGAGATCCTGTAGGGGGCTATGTATGAGTGTGTGTATATGTCATTTCTGAAGGAAAACATACACTTTTATTGCCTTAAGGGAGGACTGTTTATTGCATAATATAATACATGTTCATAAGTTTTTGTAGAAATAGTCTACTTGTGTAAAAATCTATAAAGGTTACATTATTTTCCAACATTTAATATTATCTCAAACTTTAAAACTGTAAAAAAATACAGTTTTAAAACTGTAAATACATAGTTTTATTTAGTTAACTAGCTCAATCCTTGGGGACTGAGGAAAGCAAAATTTAACTGAAGCTAGTTATTTTAAGCCTGGCAGTTAACTTTTCAACAAATGGAGTTATTTTTATAAAATTCTGTACCTCCTTTGGTTTCCTCAAAACTGAATTATATAAAGTATGTAATAAGGACATTTATCTTTTGAAATTATAAGCTTCACATATTTGATATAAACTTGTAAGCATTTCATTGAACCTTTGTTTCAGTATTTTAGATAACATTTCTTTATCCAGATGTAATAGAGGACAGATAAGCATCTCTGAATTCCAGATGATACACAGTCTTCAATTTGAGTACCAGACAAACCTTTTATCAGCACTATTTGCAAATTAATAAAATAGACTAATCTTAGCTTAATCCCTGTCTGAGGGATTGAAAAACAATTAAAAAGGAATAAGGTGGTAAATAGAATCGAAAAAACAAATCTTTTCCTTATGTTGGTCATTTTAAATTCATCACACATATGCATACTTGCCATGTATTTGCCCAGCAAAGCTATAGCTGTGGCAACAAAACATTGAGAGTTTAAACTTGAACCCTGTTTTCAATAATTTGAATAAATATGTTTATTTTTTCTATAAGGACTTATACTATTGTCACTTTGTAGTCAGTGCTTAAATCTAATTTTAAGGTAGAGTGAATCTTTTTAAAAGCGTAATAAATAAATGAATTGATAATTTTTCATGTTTTCCATTGAAAATTTTATCCTATTTGAAGAATTATGGTGATTTACAGTTATTAACAAGTATCTTTATTGATTAAAGGATGAATATATCAATATGATTACTACAGAATAGATTATCAGAAATGTACTTTTCTTAAGTACATTGATATTAATAATGATTTTATATTTTTATTGCAGCTAGAACGAGTAAATCTGTCTGCAGCTCAGACACTGAGAGCCGCTTTCATTAAGGTGAGGTGCAAATAATTGATTATGATTAAAGTGTATGTTATTTACAAATCTAAATACTATGCAATGGTTGCCAGTTTATTTTCTTTTAGTGAAAACCTTTTAAGTCTTGTTATGCCCGTTTTAGTGTATACTCTGAAACTTAAAACACTTCCCAAAGGTGAACTGGAACAAATGCTATTTCCTTAGTATTATCTTTTCATTGCTTTGTGCTTTTGAAACTGACTTCTTCAGAGTGTTTTCTCTTTAACTTTAGATTATATTTTTGAATTCTTTTTTTTTATTATTTGACATGTTAAATTTATTTGTAAAGTTATAACTTGAAAAGGTGTTCTTTGTATTGTTTAATTATAGAATGTAAGTATAAAAAAAAAACAGTGTTTCTAAGTGGGAAAATAATACCTCTAAATATTAATGTGATGGATTAAGGAGAATACACAGTTAAGTCACTCAGAATGATTGTTTTCATTGTCTTTAGACTTGAGCTGTTCTGTTCATGGATTTTTACTAGCCACATGTTGCTGTTGAGCACATGTGATATGACTAGTTCAAATTGAGGTGTTTTCGAACTATAAAATACAGATTTTGAAGACGTCACACAGTAAAAAGAAAGCAAAATATTTCAGTAATAGGTATTTTATATTGATTACATGTTGAAATAATATTTTGGATGTACTATTAAGATAATTTCACTTTTTAAAATTTTTTTTACTTTTTTTAATGTCACCACTGGAAAACTTGAAATTACATAGGTGGTTCATATTTGTTGTTCCCGTTATATTTCTATTGGACAGCCCTACTCTAGAGACTTATTGTACATATTGGGTGTATTCTTTAATATAAAACTTTATCTGCCCCTCTACCTTAAATGTTTTAATTCTTATTTGTGAGTTTGTTCCTATCAGTAGCTAAAATAACTTTGTCAGGTAAAGTATTTTAAAGTTTAAATGTGGAATAAATTTATAGTGCTATTTCATTGGAGTTGAAAGTATAAATCCATTTAGCTTGATTTCTTTTTATGGCACATAGGATTAATTTATTGATACCACTCTTAACTGTTAGCAAAATTTATATATGTTGGAATAGAACTTTTTTGATGTGTTTAATACCTTATGGTTCAGTATGTGTGCATACATATTTACTAGTTCATTAAAATGCATCCTGCACAATCATTGACTTAATGAAGAAAATTAATGAAGCAATACAGTAATCAGTTTTTTGTTGTTGTTTTCTTCTTTGAGCATCAGTTTGATTATGGAATGGCATATTTGGTCAGTAAGTAGGCTTAACGGTGACTATTTTAAGCATCTTTGTGGCTGAAGAAAAGAAGGAATAGTGATTTTCTGTACTGTATAGTATCTGTAAGGCAAAAGTCAGTTTTTCAGTTTTCCTGATACCAAGAACAGAAAGAAATTTGTCCTGTGAGTCTTCATAAAAAGGACCTTTTCTGAAGGAGTAGATGACATCTTCAATGATATTCATAAAAGAGATAAAATGAATTTCCTAGGGCTTTTTCTTGTAACATCCTAACATATAAGCTGATTATTTAATACTGCAGTATAATTATGTGACTATGATCACATTTAATTTATTAAATTTCAAATGAAATTGAAGGAATGTATGTTTTGAAAAGATGAAGATTTTTGTTTTTTAAACTATAACCTTTTTGAAATATATGAAAAATGCCTCACCAGTTAGAAGATCTTGTACATCCATGTTTCCAGTTCTTGGTCCACAACAACAGTAATTTTTATCAAACTTTGTTATTTGGAGAAGAAGAGGACTAAAGTAATTTTTCTCAAGATAAAATAATACTTTTGAATATTATGTTTTAACATATATACAGTTGACCCTTGAACAATATGGGGATTATGTGTGCCAACCCCTCACACAATCAAAAACCAGAGTATAACTTTTTACTACCCAAAACTTAGCTACTAATAGTCCATTGTTGACCAGGGATGTTACCAGTGACCTGAACAACACATATTTTATACGTTATATGTATACATACTGTATTTTTACAGTAAAGTTAGATAAAAGAAAATGTTATTAAGAAATCATAAGGAAGAGAAATGTATTTACTATTCATTTCGTGGAAGTGAGTTCTCATAAAGATCTTTACCTACTCTGTATTCACATTAAATAGGCTGAGGAGGAGGAGGGAGAGTAGTAGTAAAGGTGGTGAAAGGGGAAGCAGGCACACTTGGTATGACTTTATGAAAATACATCATAATTTCTGTCTGACTTTTTGCTTTTTCATATCTGTAAAAATGTTTCTATATGGTACCAATTCATGTTCCACCATTTGCTTTAGTTTCAGTGCGCGTATTATAGAACAGTCCATGTTATAAAAGAAGTCAGTCAAACAGTCTTGAATAATCAGAATTCTTGTGCCAGATTGTACAGTGTCACTTTGTTTTCTGGCACTGCTGCTTTTACATCTTCATCATGATCTGGCACTGGTTCAGAAACACTCATCTGCACCAGGTCGTCTTCTGATCATTCCTCTGGTGTGGTGCCTATCAGTTCTTGAATTTCTCTAAGATCTATGTCTTGAAACCCTTCACCCTCTACCTTTTTGCTACAGCCACAATGTTTTTCATGATTTCCTTGACTGGCTCTGTTATAGATCCTATGAAGTCATGTACAACATCTGGGCACAGTTTTCTTCATGAATTTATCAATTCGGGCTTGATGGCTTTCATGGCTTTTTCTGTAACAATGGCATCTTCAGTGGTGTAATCCTTCCAGACTTCCATGATCTTCTTTCAGGGTTCTCTTCCATAATATTGATAGTCTTTTCCCCAAAATACTGTTTGTAAAAAATACCTTTAGTTTTAAAGGACCTTAGGATCTAGAAGCTCAATTAGAGATGTATTTGGGGGCAAGTAGATACTTCAGCATCTTTGGTGTTGACCTCATGGGGTTCTGGGCAGGGGCATTGTCCGATATCAAAAGAACTTTAAAAGGCAATCTCTTACTGGCAGGATGCTTCCTTACTTTAGGGACAAAAAGCATCGATGCAACCAATCCAGAAGAAGGGTTTTTATTGCACAGACCTTTTTTTTTGTACAACTAAAAGACTGGCAGCTGGTATTTGTTGATCTTTTCCTGTCAAAACATGGGAGTTAGCAGCTTTATAGATAAGGACAATCCTAATCCACATACCTGACCGCATTTTTGTAAAACAATTGAGTTAGCCTATCCCTGCTTCCCTTAAATCCTGGTGCTCATTTCTCTTTATTCCTAATAAATGTCCTTTGTGGCTCTCTGCCCCCCCTTATCAGATTAGAGCACTTTTATCTGCATTAAAAACCTGTTCAGATATCCTTTCTTCTCAGTGATTTTCTTCATAGTGTCTGGGAATTTGTCTGCTGCCTCTTGGCCAGCAGAAGCCACTTCTGTTATCTTGATATTTTTTAAGCCAAACTTCTTTGTAAAATTATCAAACCATCCTTCGCCACCAAAAAATTCTCCAGCTTTAGGCTCTTCACCTTCATTTTGATTTAAGTTGCCATATAATGACTTTACTTTTTCTCAAATCATATTAGGGTCTACAGGATCTGCTCTGCCTTTCTTAGAGCAGTCTAGCACCCACATAAAAGCTACATATTCAATATTAGATAAAATAGTATTTTGTATATGTACAAGGTTTTTGTGTCTGCTGGTGTGGTTGCAGTGGCAGCTTCATAAATTTCCCTTTCTATTTTTGGAATGGTCCTTACACTGGATTCATTTATCTTGAAATGGAGGGCAGTTGCAGCTGCAGACCTCGATCTATGGAGCGTATCCAACAATCCAGCTTTTTCTTGTAATGCCATGACTTTTCTATGTTTCTTGGGAGCACTTCCACCATCACTAGTGGCATTTCATATGGGTCCCATGATGTTATTCAGGGTTTACAGTATTACATTAAACATGATGAAATATATGTGAGAACTGTGAGAGATTAATTTGTACTGGAGAGAAGAACCGATCATCGTGTGGTGATGATTAAAGTCACGTGACATTCAAAGTGTATACTGGTAACACTTGAGCTCACCATAATAGCGACTTTACATATATAGTATGTACTATGCCTAATTTTATACAGCTATGATTTAATGCTTCATCTTTATGTTGTTTATAGTTCTACTGCAAATGGTGCCATATACATTCTGTAAGTGTTTGTGTGTGTTTTGATAAATCTTAACTTTTTATAATAGATTTGTGTATATTTTATGGTGTAAATGATAAAATTGGCTAGTATTTACGTATATTTTATGCATTCATGGCATATCTTTTTCTTAATGTTTTTGATATTTTTAGTCTGCTAGCTTTGTCTGCAAGTTTTTTCAAGTTGCCACAGATCTCCAAAATTTTTTTCAATAATTTTGTATAAAAAATCTGCATGTAAGTGTACTCACACAGTTCGAACCCCTGTTGTTCAAGGGTCAACTGTATTCTTCTTGATTTCTGGTCCCCCTTATTCCCTCTGAGAGGTTCTGATAGATTGTCTTGTCTCCCAGGTTGAGAGTGTATGGTACTGTCGTTTTGGATAGTTTTCTAATTCTTTTCAAAGATTTGACATCCACCAAGTTCAAGGTTGTATTACGAGGGAAAACGTCGAGGTATAGGTAGTTACAGAGTCTCTGGTTTAAGAGCAGATCTATTTGTTTTGTCAATCTGAGGCTTTGGGTAAATTTAAGCATTTAAAATAGGAAGTAAATTGCTTAACCAGGACTTTAGCCAAAAGATACTAAGACTGCTATTCCCAATGTGCCTAGGCACCCTGGGGGCCCATAGCAAATTCAGAGGGGTGTCATGAAATAGTTTAAAAATTTGAGTGAATACAGTGATATTCAACATCTATTTGATACTGCATGAACTCAAAAGCTACATTGCAATTTCAACATATTAGATTGGGCTACGTTCCTCATAGTGATGTCATATCTTTGTGAAGCTGGACTTTTAGCTTCTGCTATGGTAAGAAGGAAGTACCACAAGAAAATCAGTGTGCAAGAGGAAATGACAGTGGCAGGGTTCAATCTAAATTTAATGTTTTAGAAATTGTGCAATACCCAGTAGACACGTCATGTATCCCAGTAATAAGTAGCCATGGTTATTTAAGAATGAAATAAAATATTTTTCTTTCATTTTATGTATGCATATTTTTAAGGCTGAGTTGTTAGGACACAGTACTTATTAAGTTTTTTGGACCTAATTACATAAACAGCATTGTTAAGTATATCTTTTGGGCATTGTGAATTCAGAAAGGAACTTCTGCGAGACTTTTGTAATGCTTTAGCTTAGCCATTTTGGGGCCGCAGACCAACTGGTTGTTGAAACTTTGTTCTCATACTTTCTGCACTTCATTCTTTCAGTACCGTTCTATAACTTAATCAGAGAAATGTTTTTATGCTGGCATTTCTTGTAAGCACATAGAGAGAATGCACCCCTGTCCCCCAAGATAATTGATTAGGTAGGTAGATTTAATGCTACTTAGAGAAGGAAGGTAAACCACTATTACCAAATAGTACCTTGAATATAATTTTGTGGCACTTCACCAAATTAATACTCTAAGTCACATCTTAAGCCATATTTGGACAACTTTTCATTTAAAGGCAATTCCTTAAAATAGATTCTATCTTGAATATATCCATGGAAAGAAAAGTCAAAATAGGCTGTAAAAGAATGAAATCTAGTCAGATATGCTTTATTGTTATTAATCATCTATCAAAATGATTTTCCTAAATAGCTTTTGACAGCAGTTAAAATGATCTCAGGATTGAAATAAATGTGTATATTTTCTTTTCTCATTTCATTCCACAACCTTTCAGTTTTTGATACTTGAGATCTAATGGGAAACAAGATGTTATAATGGAAAGAGCAATAGGAACAGAAGAAAACTGAATCTTCAGTGATAGCAGAGGAATTGAAGAAACAGGGATTATTATTAAGTCTACTTGACACACAAGAAAGCAAAAGTATTGTCATTTTAATAAGATTATAAATTGTTTCTATTTGCTGTTGAATATCAGAGCAAAAAAGAAAGGAAATCATCAACTGATTAAAATAGGCAGGCATTCTAAAGGAAACAAACTTCAAATATGATTACAGAATTTCAAAAATAACAAAATAGAGGACAAATTTATTGGGGAAAATTGAAATCTGAAAATTAACTTTGGAAAACTCGAAACTCTGCTCAGTTGAAATGGCTAGATTTCAGTGCCCTAGGGAGTTTAAATAACATAGAACCAATGCAGACTCATTAGTGAAACATGCTCAGAAGGTAGTAAAAGGATTAATGATGTTCTGGGAACTAGTGAAGGGAATTTTCTTGCTACAAAAATAGGAAATGAAAATCATTGTGTGGGAAAATTGTTTAGGGATTATATAGCTTCATAAAACCTGAAAAAGAAACTCTGTTTCTTTTGTTGTTGTTGTTGTTTTTCTGGCATTCTGTTCATTTAAATGCAAAGAATCTGCAAAATACTGATGAGTTATTGCTTGATCCTTTATTAGCTAATATAAAAAGCTAAAAATCTTCAATATATATAAACTAATGAGATGAATAATTGATTACTAAGGTATATACAATCTTTATTTCTATCTTTGTCAAGAATTTTATATTCAACTAGAAAATGGTCATAGTAAAAAGTTACTGCTGTACAAGCTACAAAAAAACATTAGTGAATGCCACACCTGCTTTAATTTAACCCTTTGCACTCGCTTGCTTTTTTATCATTATCCACTCGACTTTATCCACACTCGACATCCGAGTGCAAAGGGTTAAAGATTTCTGCCCTTCTAAGTTACCAAGTTCCCAACAGGTGCTAAACAATTAAATTTTGGTTTTAAAATACTGATTCCAAATCTATATTTCAAAACTAGCTTTCTCTTTCTTATAGGCTGAAAAAGAAAATCCAGGTCTCACACAAGACATCATTATGAAAATTTTAGAGAAAAAAAGCGTAGAAATTAACTTCACGGAATCCCTTCTTCGTATGGCAGCTGATGATGTAGAAGGTATCAGAAAAAACCTTATTCAGTTTTATAATTGTTGAAAAGCACTTTTTCTAAATCACTGTTACTTGACAAAAAGATCTTCCTACCCTCCCCTTCACTCTTCTTCATCAACTTTTGATGATGATAGTGAAAACAAATCTATGTAAAATTGAAATATAGTTCTTGTTTTTATTTTATATTTGTGAGATTTAATTACTTGAAGTAAAGGGTTTATGCTGCATGCTTTAATTTTTTCCTCCATTTGTATGATGTCTTGTGAGTTCCAGTTTTACTAAAAGGTGAGTTCTATTGGAATGGTTATTTTCTTTTGTGTTGTCTTTAAGCAAATAGCAATTTGAAAATAATGAATTTTTTGTTTGTTTTTTAACTTTAGTATAGCATCTTTTTACTTTTAAGCACAGATTTAGGAGAACAATACAACCATTGCTTTTGCTTTTCTGAATTTTGCTTTTTAAAATCAGAAGTGGATTTCACTTAAATTTAGTAGGAGTTTTCTCACTAATTTAGAAAAATGTGCATAATGTAATTTCCCATGTTTATTGAGGGATAACAAAAAGTAGATATTTTAACTGATTTCCTGATTTATAAGAAAGCCCTCATCATTATTTAGACTCGAGCATTTGCAGCCTGTTTAAGATGTAATATTTTGATGAATTGGTAGAGTTGTAGTGCTTCCAAGTCTACAGTGAATCTGGTGGTAAGCATATTCCCCTCTGCGAAGTCTGATTGAACCTCCTTTTCAAAATTGCTGTTCTGCGATCCTAGCTTTTAGGTTGGATTTGTGGTGTTAGTGGTTTTGTTTTGAGGTGAGATTTCAAGAGTGTGCTAAATAAAGATTTTATTAGGTTATTTGGGATTTTAATATGATAAACAGTTTATATTCAGTGTAGGGGTTTTAAATTATAAAACTCATCTTTCCTATTGGCAGATATATATTGCCTTTGCAAGTGATAGATATCATTACTTAATTAAAGGTTTCCTTGTGGAATATATCTTCAGGGGATTGATGATAAAGCCTCCCTTTTTAATCTGTTTTTTTTGTTTTTCAGATTTCATGGGATTTCCATTTATCCCAAATTGAAAATATTTAGTCTTTTATCTTCTAATATTTTACTTGGAGGGAACCCTGTTGTTATTACTGGACTAAGTCAAATCAAATGCTGATGAATTCTATTTTGCAGCCTTGTCTTTTCTAGTTTATTTGGCCTTTTTCTTCCTCTACCCACCTTTGATCAACATTGGGAATTCTTAGATGTGAACTTGGCAGAGAGTTGCATAATGTTTTTTATTATGTATTTATTTTATCAGAGTATATGATTGAACGACCAGAGCCAGAATTCCAAGACCTAAATGAAAAGGCACGAGCACTTAAACAAATTCTTAGTAAGATCCCAGATGAGATCAATGACAGAGTGAGGTTTCTGCAGACAATCAAGTAAGTGATTTTTTATTTTGGATCTTTTTGTAAAAGTACTTCAAAGGAACTACTCATCTAGATGTTCTAATTTTGTTATGACATCAATATTAAGTTGAAATGTTAATTTGAAATAAAATTTGAAATTTTTAAATGCTACATCATATTTATTTGTAGGCTATGGCATTTGGTTTCAAAGTACAATAACATTTTTTAGATGGACTGTTTTATTTAAAAATAATTAATGAAATGTGTATAAACTGGAATATAAGTGTGAGCTATATAAATAATTGAAAAATGTAAAAGTCAGATTAAAATGAATAGAGAAATTGGATAAGCCATAGGATAGTAAGAGATACCAAAATTGTTTTTTATTTCAGAAATGGCACAGGTTATTAGGATAAGTAACGTCCTCTTAAGTGTGAATAGCATTTACTAATAATGATCAAATTGTGGACCTCCAAATTCTTGCCTTTGGGACACAGGTTTAGTAACTAGAACCAGGAGACTGGCTGGGTCCCATCCCCAAGGTATTTCCTTAGGTATGTGCAAATATTTCCAAAACTGAAAAAATTCAAAATTTGAAATACTTCTAGACTCCAGCACTCCAGATAAGGGATACTCAACCTTTATAGTTAAAATAAACATGTTTGACCCATAAAAGGAAAAATTGTCAGTGATCTCAAACCCGGTTTAGATAGTTTATTTCTAGAGTTTTCAGATAGTTTAATAAGTTTTCATTTGCTTTGATAATGATACATTTGCTGATGAGCCATGCTACATTCCTATGAAGATTTAATATTTCAAATATTTTCAGATTTTGCTTCATATTATTGAAGTAGAGGTTTACACAATCAATATCATCTTAATAGCAGTAGCTCTTATAGAACTAAGTGCTAAGCACTGTTTTAAGTGCTATACATATACTAGCTTAGTACAGCAACCCTGTAACAGATGAGGAAATTGAAGCACAGGAAATTAGGTAATTTTTCCTAAGGTCGCTCAGCTAGTAAGTGGTAGAGCTGGATTTGAACCCAGGCAGTTTGATGCCAGAGTGTTCTCTGCTGCTTCCCAATCATAGATTTATATTGTTCATCTAATCTGGTGATTGAAAAAAAGTTTTTTTTACAAAGTTTTCTTTTTAATTATTTTGGGTGTATGATAGTTATACATTTATAGAGTACATGGGATGTTTTGATATAGGCATCCAATGTGTATTAATCAAATCAGGGTAATTGGGGTATCCATCACCCAAAGCATTTATCGTTTCTTTGTGTTAGGAACATTCCAATTCCACTCTTTTAGTTATTTTAAAGTATACCATAATTTATTGTTGACTATAGTCACTTTGTTACGCTATCAGATATCATTCATTCTGTCTCTCTGACTATATTTTTGTACCCATTAACCATTCTCACTTTATCCTCCCCTCCCTGCTACTCTTCCCAGGTTCTGATAACCTTCATTCTACTTTCTGTCTTCATGGGAGCAATTGTTTTAGTAATTAGCTCCCACATATGGGTGAGAACATGTGAGATTTGTGTTTCTGTACTTGGTTTATTTCACTTAAACATGTTCTCCAGTTCTATCCATGTTGTTGTGGATGGCAAGATTTCATTATTTTGGTGGCCATATAATATTCCATTATGTATATGTACCACAATTTTTCTTTATCCATTCATCCATTGGTAGATGCTCAGATTAATTCCAAATCTTGGCTATTGTGAATAGTGCTGCAATAAACATGGGCTTGCAGATACCTTTTCGATTTACTGATTTCCTTCCTTTTGAATATATACCTAGCAGTAGGACTGCTGGGTCATACCATCGTTGTATTTTTTAGCTTTTTGAAGAGCCTTTATAGTGGTTGCACTAATTTATATTACCGCCAATAATGTATTAGAGTTCCTCTTTCTCCACATCTCTGCCAACATTAGTTATTGCCCTTCTTTTTGATAATAGCTGTTTTAACTGGGTAAAATGATACCTCATTGTAGTTTCAGTTTGCATTTCTCTCATGACTAATGATGTTGAGCATTTTTTTCATATCTCTTTTCATTTATATATCTTCTTTTGAGAAATGTCTATTCAGATCTTTTGCCCATTTTTTAATCAGATTATTTGATTGTTTCCTATCAAGTTGTTGAAGTTCCTCATATTTTTTTTTATTAATCCCTTGTCGGGTAGTTTGCAAATACTTTCTGCCTTTCTGTGGATTGTCTCTTCACTTTGTTGGTTGCTTTCTTTGTTTTAGCTTGATGTGATCCCATTTGTTCAGTTTTACTTTAGTTGCGTGTGCTATGGGGATATTACTCAATAAATCATTTTTCAGACCAATGTCCTGAAGCTTTTCCCCAATGTTGAAAAAATAGTTTCTGCTATTTGAAAGAAGCAAGATAAAATGGTAAAGGACATGTTATACAGAATGCCAGTCTGTAAGAGATAACAGTATTGTGGTTGAAGCTAGGGTATAAATGGCAGGCCCAGAACCCTCATCCTGTTACTTTGACACCTCTTTCTCCCTGTGGAGTCCCTGAGACATCTCTGCTAAATCCCCTGTGACTCTAGGAAGATACAGTTTGAAAACCACATTATTAACAGCTATATTTTTGTCATAAGGAAGTCTTGCCCATAGTCATTAATAGGCTTTATGAGGGTCTTATGTGAGTTATGTGGGAGTAGTAATATTTCAGTTCTGTTTTCTGGAGTGTACTCAGCACAGTTGAATTAAGAGTAATGGCAGTGAAAATTTATTGCCCAACCATTTAGGAGGGGTAATTTTCCTTATTAAGTTTGTTGATACATACATTATTTCGGAGACTAAAATTCAACCATGTGCAAATAGCATAGATGGCTATGGTATAATTATTTGCATCACTATATTGTATACTGCTACATTTTGATATATGTTGTTACCACTGTTAATTGACAAATTAGTGGGTAAAATTGCACTAAAATAGAAAATGGCTTATCCTTTAGTTACAACATGTACAACTTAAAGTTTCTTTTTAAAATATTTTACTTTCTTATATTTATCATCCATTTATTTTAGCAACATTTTTCAATAAGCATATATCAAAGATCTACACCAGGTACTATAGGTAATGCTATAGATTGTATTAAAATAGTAAACAGATTCCTTACAGCTAATAAATATTCAGGCAGTTTTGAATATATTTGCAGAATATATTAGCAGGTTTGAATCTTCAGTCCAAGATTTAGCTGCGTGACCTTGGATATATGTTGTTTAGCTTCTGTCATTCTTGTTTCTGCTTCTGTACATGAGGGTAATAAGTTGTGAGAATTGAAAGAAATGATTTACATAAAGTGCCTAACACTGAACCTAGCATACATTCATTGACACATGCTAGCATTGTTGAAATAAGGATTTTTCCCACTTTCTTTGTATGCAATTGATTAGGAAAAATGATCCAGCAAGCAGATTTTTAAAAGTTCTCTTGATTAATGAATGTTTCTGTTTGACTACATTTTCACTTATGCAAATATTTTATAAAATTAATTTGTAGTTGTTTTTTTTTAAGTCTGATACATTCCACTTAATGGATAACTAGTGGAGACTTGCAACTTAATAGATCAAAAAGCCATGCATTTATCTATTTACTCTTTGTAATTTGCATTTCATATTCTTAAGCTAAAATTCACCAGGGTTTATTTCAAGTCAGGAGTTTTCATGATAGCTTCAGTATAGATTTTTCAGACTTGTCCAGTCTAAACCAAACTAAACATACAGTACAGCTGGCACAATCAGAAGCTCTACTTTTCCATTTAGTTTTTTGATAAGGTGTATGTTTACATTTCATCTAATGCCTTTGTCTTTCAGCATACATGTTTCCCAAAAGTTGCCCTACTAAATAGCTGCAAATTGCTAAACTCTTTTCCATTCTACTCATACTATCTGCCCTTTACCACAGAATTCATCAATTTCAAGCTGCATAATTACATGATAGTTATTTACCTTCAAGTTTTTAAAATTCCTCATCTGGTTAATTGTCTGTAGTATTTTTTGTGCTGGTATTTTTTCTTGTAGAAAACAAATTACTAATATAATTTAGCTTCCCTAGTACAAACCTTGGTGCCATAAATGAAAATGCTTTTCTGTTTACATACAGATAACAGTATTTGCACAAATTGCCTCAGATTTTTTAATAATTGGGTAGATCAAATGTGACTTATCAGCAGAATCACCTGGGGGAGTGTTTTCCCCACACCCCTATTAGAGTACAGATTTCCAGTATTTATCAGCAGGTCTGGGGTAGGGTCCAGCAAAACTGTCCATTTTCTTCTCCTCCCACACCTTTTTTTTTTCCTTCCTAGATGAGTTCACTAACCTGATTCAGAACTACTCTTTTGACCTGTAGAATCCAGCCATTATCATTGTGTATGGAAGATATGTTTATCATGATGATTAGTACTGAAGGCACATTTTTATATTCCCCTTTTACAGAAAATTAAAATATACTACCAAGTAAGACTATATATAAACAGCTAACTGTCTGATCACTGTGTAATTTTCCTTGTGGATTTGAAAAACTTCGCATATTTATACTTGACATTTTTTATTTGTTGAAATTGTAGTTTTTCTCAGGTAATAGTATGGTCATATCACACTATTTTATTACACAGTGGTGGATTTTGTCCATCAAGCAGTACAGAGGGATTCAATTTGCTTAAAAGCATAAATGAACAGTTATATAACTTAATAACTGCTGTTAACAGAGGCAAAAAATGATTGGACAGATATGTAAAATTTATTGTCCTACTTGAATATGTAATATTTAATGTTGCAGCCTAATACCAATGTTTGAGATACAAGAGGCAATAAGTATTGAAATATTTAATAAAAATATTATTACTTCAGGATAGGCTATTTTTTATACCAAAATCTTATATGCTTTTAATTCATAGAGTTTCCACATGCTTATTTATCAGAAAAGATGCTGAGAAACACACACATATGCACAGAAACCTGGACACTGAGATTTTTTTTCTTTCTTGAAATAAAATAAAGCTAAAATGTTTTAGATATGAAATATCTGAAATCTGACATTTGTAATTGAAAAATCAGTAATTAAATTTAAAAATATATTTAAAAATAAATATTTGGGATGGTCTTACTTAAATTGGTCTTGGAATGGTCTTGCATTGCATTTGACCAACAAAAGTTTTTGTAGTGACTAACAGCTAAGAGAATGGATGTGAAAAAGAAAAGACTTGTCTTAGAGATTGTCAGGCTATTTGACAATGTAGAATCACATAAAGTTAAGTTTGACAGAAAAAAATTGCTATGAAGTTAGAATGTGGACACTGAAAAGGGCATAGATATAAAAGACAAGAAAAGTTCAGAAAATATTGTACGTGGACAGGATGAAAAGTGAACTCAAATGAGAATTATTGATTTCTTCTCCTTCTCTCTTTAGAAAGGGGAGAAAGGTGTTGATACATATATAGTCAAAGAATGATTGCTAGAAAGGGTTTAGGTAGAATATATTTTGATATTTTCTCTCCCAGCAATTTAAATATACCTTCTAAAGGAAATAGTGACCTGACAGCAAAAAGTTTGGAAGAGGAAGATATTTATTTGATAGATAGAAGGTAAGGGTGTGGGAGAGAGAAGAGGAAGAGGAATATTTTCTCTGAGGAGGAAATGTTTTCTGTTAAACATTTAAACTTATTAGGTATCTGACAGGTAGTATTGTTAAATACAGAAAAGTGTTACATGTAATGTAAAATTCCATAAAATTGTTCACTAACAAATTGTTCAAGTTAACAAAAGTGGACAAACTATTATAGTTTGAATTCAGCTACATTAAACCAGAGAAAATACAAATAAAAAAAATAAAAAACAGGAAAAGACATGCTTAGATATGTTTACCTTCTTATAAATTTGAGTGAGGAATGCTGAGTGAAATGTGATTGATTTGGGAAAATTGGTGTTAGTTGTCAATCTTTGGTCAGGAGAATCAGGATCATAGCAGGGTACAGGCTAAAACCTACTCCACCAGCTAGCCAAAGGTTGGCTCTTTGTGAAGTATACATAGGGTAATTAAGAGTATATTGTGATTAGTAATTCTTAAAATATATGTAGACAAATTTGTTTCAAATGTAGCTGATGTTAAAGATTTTTTTTCCTTTTCCAACAGGGATATAGCTAGTGCAATAAAAGAACTTCTTGATACAGTGAATAATGTCTTTAAGAAATATCAATACCAGAATCGCAGGGTAAGTTTAGTAGAAGCCTTGATGGTTGCCTCCCTAAATGTTGGTTTAGTCTAGTTGTCTTATTGAATTAAATACTAAGGGGATTTGATTACTGGAAATAGTTGTGTGTCATTAGCCATTGGGTTTATCCGTGAATTTAAATATGCTGTTTTATGTCTTTAAATACTCCAAAAATGCTTGTTTGTAATATAAAGTGCCTCCCCTATTATGTATAGTCTCTTGTCTTTGACTTTGGCTTTTGTATTATTTCTCTTATTTAGTATTTTTTTCTTATTATTTTTCATGTCTGTAGGCACTTGAACACCAAAAGAAAGAATTTGTAAAGTACTCCAAAAGTTTCAGTGATACTCTGAAAACATATTTTAAAGATGGCAAGTAAGTACTGTCATTTATCCTTTTCTTTAAAAATTAAATAGATGTCATTTTATGTGATACTAAAATCATATAACTTAAGCCCTTTTACTCTATTGTTGGTACTCAAGGCAACTGATAACCAAGGCAGACCATTAAAAATAGAAAATAAATGGTTGCCAATTCAGCCATAACTTCTAGAGCAGTAGTTGTCAGACTTTTTCTGAAAAGGGCCAGATGGTAAATATTTTAGATTGGGTGATCCTGTCACAACTGCTCACCTCACCTCTGCTGTTGGAGTGCAGAAGCAGCCATAGATAAAATGGAAATGAGTAGGTGTGATTGGGTTCTAATAATACTTTATAGAAACTGATATTTGAATTTTGTATAATTTTCAGCTGTCACATAGTATCCTTTTCATTTTATCATTATTATTTACCATTTAAAAATATAAAAGCATTTTTAGTTTACTGGCCTATTTTAACCATTTCTGAAGCAGTGGTTCTCAAACTTTAGTAGCATAATTCACTTGGAGGGCTTGTTAAGGCTCAAATTGCAAATTGCTCAAGGGGCTCCACCTCCAGAATTTCTGATTCTGTAGGTCTGGTGTAGGGCCCAAGAATTTGTATTTGTAAGAGGTTTTCAGATGATATTGATGTGGCAGTTCTGTTCAGAACTACTGCATAAGGTTAAAGCAGTGGTTCTTAATCCTGTCTGCACATTACTTCTGGTTAGGTTTTAAAAATCTCATAGGCCCCTCCACAGATTCTGATTCAGTTGGCCTGGAGTAGAGCTGTGGTGTAGATGTTTTGTAAAAGTGCTCCACATAATTTTAAAGTGCTATAAGGATTTCGATCTGCTATCCTGGAAGGAGAGAGACTTAAATTGGCTTTTGTAGCATCCTTCTATAAAATAGGAAGTATACTAAAAATGTAAATTGGATGTTATTTTTAAATATACATTCATTTGGTTGAAGAACACTATAGAAAGCCAAGGGATTTTATGTATTTTTGCATACCTACACACATACATGTAATGTATAAACTGATGCAGAGGCCGTAATTTCTGTAGTATATCATATAGGTAGTTCTTTGTACTTTAAATAGAATGCTAGAATTTTGTGGACAAGGCCATTTTCTAATAGTGCTCACAGTTCGAAAAATAATCTACATAGAGGATTGAAACATCCTATTCTACCATTCGAGTTTTAAGATCCCCATATACAGGTCACACCATTACAATATTATTGTAATAATATTTAAAAATAATAAAATCATTAGTTGGAATTCTGTTAATTTTCAGTGTCATTTTCAACAGT